GACAGTGGAGAGGGAAAAACTCCCTTTTTTCAGGAAGACAACTCCAGCATAACCAGGCTTGGTGTGATCAACCACTTGGGGTTCAAGGAGACCGAAGCAGACATACAGAAAGAAGCAGAGACATAACGGTAACTGTGAACCAGCTCCACAGACGGCCCCCTCCAGGAAACACACAGTCAGGCAGATGAGCTCCGAGCCAGCTCCCATGTCAGAGGATGAAGAGAGCACATCCAGTTATTCATCAATTTTCCCATCAACTCTTAATAGCTGCTTTCCTTACTAGAAACGAGCATTTCCACAGCTTGATGCTTCCATAAGCTGTTTTATTTGGACATGGTATATATATGTGTGGGTTATGATTTATAACTCTACCAAAAATAGATTCGCACATAGGCCAAAAGTACAATTTTGCTATCTGTCTAAAGCACCTTATTTGACTTTCTAGCTGTGTCCTCTAAATGACTTACACACGGGAGCTTTGATAGCTTTATTTCAACAATGGCTCTGTTGTTGTCTCTCTTTTACAAAGGCAATATTTGTTTTTAGGTACTCTATAACATGAGCTGTGTTAACTCTCCAGCACCTGTTGCAGTTGTACCATTTTTTTTCTGTTGTTTTAATTTTGTGTAAGGGCCTGAACAATGCTCAGTAAAATATTCAAAACACTGAATAGTTCACTCACAATATAGAACCTTGTCCTGGACCTGCTTGCTGTTTTTATTATCTGCATAATGCTGTTTGTTTACTAATGTTATCTCACAAACCTTAAAGCCATTTGCAGAGTACCAATATTTGTAAGAAATCTTTAGTAAGATTTGAACCTTGAAATGATTTATAAGTGCAATAGAGATGGAGATGGATTTTATTCAGGCAAAATAGAAATATCTACAATAGTTCAGTATTTTTCGGAAAAAAAGATAAGTTACTGTTTACTCTAACGCATACATTTCAATTAAACTACTTTAAGCTTTGGGGTTGTAAGGTGAGAAAATGTGGAAAAGGTTCAAGAGGTATAAATACTTTTGCAAGTTAAGTTAAGAAGTTAAAGTGTTGATGACGCAATATTACATGTGATTTTGCATTATAATCATGTATGAGGATATACCAGGTGTTATTATAAATCAAACAGGCTTAATTTTAACCCAAATATCCAACATTTAGTAGCGCCACAGCAGCACTCTGTTAAATTGCTAGTCAAAACACATTTGTGTGGTAGAACCATCAGCCAGTTCAAGCACAGGAGAGGGTAGTGATGCTGAGGTATATGGAGGCATCACACCTCTGTTAAAACCAGAAACCTGTGAAACACCTAATACAGCCCTGTTATTATGCAGTTAGGCTCTGACAAATCATCATCTGGGATCGTTTCCTAAATGTTCCAAGCACAGAAAAGATGCCGTTGATTGCTCAAACTTCTCCTGATCTCATCTGTCCTGCTTCACCCACTTTGAAAGCAGCTCAGGATCCTCAGGAAACTTAAATAAGCTGATGACATCCTTATGGGGAAAACAAGCAACAAGCTGCAACACAACACAAAGACATAGCGGTATCTTAATCCATGAAAGGTTCAGCAGCTGTTCATAGTATTTATTCAGGCAAAATAGAAATATCTACAATAGTTCAGTATTTTTCGGAAAAAAAGATAAGTTACTGTTTACTCTAACGCATACATTTCAATTACACTACTTTAAGCTTTGGGGTTGTAAGGTGAGAAAATGTGGAAAAGGTTCAAGAGGTATAAATACTTTTGCAAGCCACTATAACCCATCTGAAAAAGCTAGATGAGGTTTACTGTTCAAAAACTTTTCATGGAGCACTTTAACCCAGTAATAGATAACAGCCTCTCTGTTGTGTTAATATCCTTAAACCAAATGAACTAAAATGCCATGATCTCTTTTCACCCTTTCTCACTCAGCTTGCTTTTACCCTTTCTCCTTTTCATTCAATCATCTCTGCCTGTTCACCTGTATCTTTCTCTCCTTGTTTCTCATGTATGCTTTTTGGCAGCGACGAGTGCTTAAAGGGGGTATTAGCACGGAATCTGTGCAAAACCATCACAGCTTAGCAGGCTAGTGAAGGTGAGACAGCAGGGATTTCCTTTCGGCCCCTTTGCTACATTTTTGCTAAATTGCTTCTTGTCAGGTGAAGTTGAAGCATAGAAGGCCTGCCTTTCTTTCTGTCATACTTATTGTGGACACAAATATGCATGCTCATGCACGGCAAGCTCCGTGTGTCTATCTAAATGGTATAATGTGCACACACATAATGAAAGTATAAAGGATTAGTGATATGCCTAATGTGGGTGTATGCTTGTGTGTGCAAATATAATTTGGGGAGGACAGAGGCATTCTCAGTATAGACTTTGGTTGGCTGCCAAAGAACCATCTTACACCTGGAGCTCTTGGCTGGCTCATAGGGATATAGCATTAGGGATAACTGCAGTACTCAGAAAAACACAGTGTCTTTCAATTTTACAAATACAGTATAAATAGTTTAAGGAAGCAAGTCAGCTAAGGTGTTACACTCTTCTCTTTCTGACCCAATTGGCATCTTACTTTTCTCTAGTGTGTAGCTCATTTTTACCCTATAATTTAGCAGGTTAGTCTGACCTAAAGTTACTAAAAGATTAAGAACTCTTTCGGGAGACAAACCCTTGGTCAATGGATTTACTTCATAAATCCCTTTTCTATTCATTCCATACTTAAAATTTTTTTTTGCACATTATATCTGCCTTCAACCAGCTGCATTCATGAAAACACATACTTTCATACACCAATATGCAGATTGGGAAATCTGTGGTTTAGTGCCTTGCCCAGGGCACATCGGCATGTTACAAAAGAAAGCTGGAATTGAACCAATCCAAACCATTCTGACATTTCAAAACAACAACTCCATTCAGTAAACCACAGTTGCCTGAATAGCATGTACTAAACCAACCCTTCCATATCTTTGGAAGGTGTTCAATGTTCCACATGAAAAACAAAAATCCTTTTAATTGCAGGTTTTAACTAAACTAATAATTATGATTTTGGTTCCCAATAATAGCATAACAGTTAAAATTAAGGAATAACTTTTTTTCTAAGTTGAACATTTTGAAGATCAGTTCTTTTTTATTATTTGGCTGAAAGTAAATTAGATACGTATATATGTGAGACAATGGAGCACATTTTGAAAAAGTAAAATGCTATAAATATCATTGGAGAAAAAAAAAGGTGGTGGAATATAAATCCCCTGGTGTTGATCTGGACAACAAATTGGATCAGAGACGCAACTGTGAAGTCATCTACAAGAGGGGACAGAGGACATTGTACTTTTCGATGAAGCTAAGGTTCTTCATGTGTTTGCAGAAAGATGCAGTGTGTATTCCATAAACTTGTTGTGTAGAGTGTAATTTCTGCTGCCATAATCTTAATGAATGACTGAAAAAAAAAGCTCAGCATGCTTGTGAGGGAGTCTGTCTATGTTCTGGGAACTTTTCTAGAAACTGTGGGGATGATTTTACCAAAAAAAAAAAAAAAGCATTGTCCATACAAAAACAAAAAAAACATTATGCCCCATCGCTCTTTAGAAGATTGTTAAAGCACAGCAGCATCTTTAATCAAAGGTTTTTCTAGATATGCTGCAAGGAAGATCATTACTTGAGGTCCTTTGTTTCTTCAGCTATCAACATCTACAACAACTTGTTAAAAATAAGACTGAATTATGACATGTAATTTGCCTTTGAGATTTAAAAATTATTTTTGTATTTAATTTTGTGTAACATCAAGTTCTTTAATTTCTATGAGGTTTGTGTGTCACATATGATTCTTCTTAGGCACCAGTCAAATTCAATCTATAATTTATTTATTTTCATATTAAATTGATTGACCAGGAAACAGACTAAAGAGAAGGGGGCAAAAAAACGATAGAGGTCAATGGGCCATAACTCAAACCCATGACAGCTGATTCAAGGACTGAGGCCTTTGGACATGGATCAAACGCTTAACCCCTGTGCCACTGCTACTGTACATCCATCCCATATGATTTAATAGTATTTTCTGTTGTGTTTGTAGTAGAATAGTGTGTAGAACTGTTAGTGCTGTACTCTTTTAGGGCATAGTACACAATCACTGCATTACAGTATATTTCCATTACCTTGCCAACCATCTTTTTATTTATTATCTTTACAAGACAAATATTCTGATTGATAAATGATCAACTTGTTAATGAAAGGCATTTACTAAAGTGTGAAATCAGAAAAGTAAATTTGTGTTTAAACTATCTTGAAATATCAAATAGATGAACTGTAACTAAACTTTAAGTTGTTTTGCTCTACATGTTGCGAAGCAGTTCTTGTAAGAGCAGATACTAGGCTCTCTTTTACTGTCTCTCTTTGTTTCTCTACAATTCACATTAAAGCGCAAATCCACATGTTGAGTTTAAATGAACTCATTCTGTGTAGAGTGACAAAAGGAGCTTGGATAGAAATCAGTAGTTGAAGGAACAGAATTTCCACTCAACACGCCAGATTAAAATGGAAACGTGCATGTGGATCGTTTTAGTCAGTGCTTCAGAATGCTAATGCCCAACATGAGTTTTGGATGAAGCTCAGATATCTCTCAGTTCTTTGCACAGAGCCAGATACAGAGGATTTAAAAGTGTGAGTGTGAAGCAGGTGAGCAATGTGATCTATGGCAGCGCCAGGACAATCATGCAACACTCTCAATAATAAATGATAGAAATGACTTCAAATTCCCCTTCCTTAACACATATTTTTACACCATCACTCTGCAATGTTTTATACTGTAAATATTACAAGACTTTTACTACTTCCAAATATCAACAATTAAGTGTGCTGAAAGATGTGGTTTCTAGAATTGACCACTTAAGTGTGATGAGAGAAAATGTGTAATAAAAAGTTTTTTTTAAATCTTGTTAATCTGTTTTCCTTTCCTGTACCATTTGTTGTAAATCCTATTTTGATGATTATTCTTACATTTTCTTCTCTCGATTTATAATAGGTGGATGCTCTGCGAGTGCGCCTCGAGGAGAAGGAACAGATCCTGACTAAAAAGTCAAAGCAACTGCAGGACTTAAGTGATGAAAAGAGCACACTGACGGGAGAAATCAGAGATATGAAGGACATGCTGGATGTCAAGGAGAGAAAAGTGAATATCCTACAGAAGAAGGTAAAGAGTTCAGCCAGTTTTGTAATACTTTCATTATTCATCCTCAAAGTATTTTTATTATGATTAAGAAGTCTAACAATTGTTGGACCTTGTTTTAAATCTACATCAGAGTAGATTGAAATGCATTCTACTAATTGGGTCTTTTGTCATCACTTGATTGGAGACGTACAGTGCAAGCTGCTGTTTTGTTCTTGGAAATAAACGTAACCAATTCTGACCGACATAAATGGATGATTACACAGTAATCACTGTAATACACTTGAGCTAGAGACGGTTTTGTGGTTATTAAAGAGATAAGTAATGCAATATAGATCATACACAATAATTCAAGAGGACTGTACTGCAGCAGTAGGGGCACCACCATATTTATAATCAGTGCAGTATGTTCACACTTGAAGTCAATCCTGAAACAAATTGGTCGTTTTGGGGAATTTAGTTAAGTCATATTAAATCAACTTTTCTTAGGTTTAGGTTTTACTAATCTAATGATTGGTATTAGCCTTCAAGGAAAAGGATAAACCTAAGGTATTAAATTAGGGTTAGGTATTAATTAAGCTAATGCTTTAGTTTTCTCCTAAACTGCCAGTATACAAACATATCTACTAGTTAGGGGTAATTTGTCAAAAAAAAATGTTAAATTGGATTATGAAATTAAAAAAAGTAATTGCTCTAAATTTTGAAATAAAATGATTTAACAAAACATATTCAACAATTCAGCCCAATTAACCAACCTCTATGCACTACACTTGTAAAAAGGGCAGCAATGCTTTGAAGTCATAAATATTGAACAGTAATGAAACAGTTAACATTCGATGTTAGGTCTATCTGTTGTCATTAATGATTCATTTCTGCTTGAACACTCTCTCAAATGACTTGGTTAAATGTTATTTACAGTATAAGCAGATGGTCATTGTTTGGCTGTTCGATGTCTCTGTCTGTGCGGCTATTTAGGTATGGATTCAGAACTTAACACAAAGACATCATCCATTGTCTCAGGATTTTCTGACATGGATGCGTAGAAGATCTTGTAGATGGTGTACAACAATGCAAATCTCATTTATTTGATCTTGGATGTCACACACACACCACATGCTTGTGATGTCTTAATGACTTTTATGAGGGTAGCTATTCAGACAGGGTGTGTTGCTACCTGTGGTGTACATCTTGGCCATTCCGCTATAGACCAATTACTCACACATAATGGTCTTCACTTAGCTTTGTTGTTTCCTCTGTCCTTAAATTAGAGCTTCCTCTCTCCTTCCTCCCTCCCTCTTACTGAGTTTAATGAAAATGCTCTCCGAAGGTCATACACATTGCTACAAGTCTGTGTATGCTGGGCCTTTGTGATACAAGCTGGATTATTGTGTTCATGCTGTACTTGCAAAACTGTACATAAAATAGAGCTTTGGACATTAAATAGTTTATTATTTAAATGGAATTAAGAAAAAGATTAAAGAAATAAGAAAATTAAAAGGGAATTGGATTATATCATAAAATGAAAAGGAATCATGTTTGGAAATCAAAAGCAAATTTATTTGGCTTCAAAATCGATATCAGTATTTTTTTTCTTAAGAAAACCCTTCACCTTTTTAATGACACCATGTATTAAGGGGTATAGCAATATACTGCTCACAAAATATTTAATTTGTAGTTACCAACCCATTCCACTGCTCTGCTGATGCCTTATAACAGTTCCTTATGTGGCCAGAGCTTTTAAGGTTAAGATGAAGCCTTACTCTATTGAACGCAAACAGTTCAACTGACCCATTGATATAAGAAAATGGAGACTTTGATGCAAATCATTTCCTAGTCAAAAATTGTCTGTAATTGCTACCTAATACCAAGGGAATAAGTCTTTTACATGTTTATGTTCAGGTAAAATATTTACAATAATAAGTATTGTAGGTACTATTGTAGTATTGTAGGTCACTATTCATCACATGGGAATTTTACATTTGGTACATGGTTTTCAAATGTGATTTTCAAATGTGACATTTTGTTACTTTTGTGCAAGGGGCACTAAAAGATAGATTAAATGAAATGATGGCAAGGAGAATGCCAAAAGTGGTTGCATTTAAAGCTTCCTACAGGTTATGTAGGGGTAAAAAAACATGTCTGACTGTGCTGGTTAGAGGTAATAGGAGTTTGCCACACAAACCCCCTTAGCAAACCATTGAATAGAAGGAAAACCTGTAAGAAGCTCTTAATTTTGAGCGGGTACGATTTACCTTACAGTATCACAAACACCAGGAATATATAGGCAGGACTGCAATAAAAGGGTTAAGATCAAAGCATATTCACTTAAGGTGAGCTAGAAGTACATATTTTAATCTGATTCAAAATTTGTGGCAGTTCTGAATACCAATGTTAACTGTTGTTCTCCATCCAATCACACTGAGGTTAAGCTATTTAGCAAAGAATAGGCCAATCAGTCACAGTCCATAAGTGTAAAATTCAGGCTATATAAACTTGTGCCATACTCCTCAATTACTCTGAAGTTATTTTCCCTTTCTGCTTCACAACTTTGTGGTACTTCTGATGATTGTTTTTTATAAAATCCAACCAAAATACATAATGTTGTTTGTGGTTTTAGTGTAAAAAAACTGTGAAGGAGATTAACCCTCTACAATGCTCTGTGTAAAGAATTCTTAAAGGCAAAAGAACTCGTATGTTTTTTTTTTCTGAAATACCTCTGAATTTTTATATGTATATAAGGATTTTTTTAAAGCTGCAGTTTGAAAAAAAAAAATACAGATTTTTGGGCTTAACCTAAAAATACATCATATTGTCCAGGCATGAGCAGTATAGCACCTTTAAAGACAGTCTTTAGCTGCTGTAAGTATCCTTAATTAGTTAACTGCTTAGTCTTAAGAGAGTATGAGGAATACATCTACTCTTTCCAGATGTTATTTGGACAGTCAGCACAGTTTATTGTATAGTTGCATGATGTCATTGCTGTAGCTTAACGCACAGGTTGATCCTAATAATAAGAGGCTCAATATGTCTGAAAATAATGAAGGAATGGTCTTTGAAACTTGCAGAAAAAGAAGAAAATGTGAACACACTGTTCTTATGTATCACAACACAGAACAGTGGGGACTCTGTTCACATCCTTGGTCAATCAGACCATGTCAAATGCATAATGATGCATTTATTTGTTTATTTTTTCCATTTACATTTCTTTTTTTCCTCTCCCTTTGGCTACGGGGGAAGGGTGGGGAGGTACACATGCACAACCGTTTGTGGTATGGTTTTGGCATAGATGTGTTATTCATGTTCAAACATTGTGGTTATCACAATCCATATTCATACTTGTAGAAAGGCTTTCTGTGTGCATAGAAACATCGTATCCCCACTATCATTTTCCCACTATTAGCAGCCTCAGAAACAAAAAGCTGTGGTTGTGTCTGACTGGGCTAGATGATTAAGTTTTTATGTATCCATATGGAAGGATCCTCCATCCACACATGGCTCTCCCATTTATTATGTATTGTTAGTTTCTTCTGGCCTTTGAGGCCTTTTGGGGAATCACACTGTGTTCTGATGCTGGCTTTGCAAGAACTTATTATGGCCTGCTGATATAGCTGTCTTTTGCCTAGTTTCATGAAACTTTTCCTGTTGAGAACAGAGCGGACAGCAAGGCTGATGGAGATCCATATTCTTCTTTCTTCAAATGTTAGGTTTAGCACTAGGTGGGTGTTGTAAGGGTCTGGGTAAGGCCATACAAATTAATGCAAACTGAATGGAAGTTATGCAAAGTGCCGTTTGTATAGTGGGCCATAACGTGTGTGTTCAGTCTTGATAGATCTGTGATGAGGCCACCAGTACCTTTCATCCTAATGGATACCAGCTGACCAATCAAAGTACAGAGACATGGCCACAGATAAGACCATTGGAGCAGGGGAAATTCTGGTAAACTGCTCACAAAAGGGGACCCCCTCTCTTCCTATTCTACCCCTCCCCCTCATTGCTGCTATCAGCAATCAGCCTGGGTTAATAGTCAGAGCCCAAGGCTGGTTGATTGAGGCCAGCTACACATCCGACAGGACGGAACCCCAAGTTGGGTTACAAAAAAGACCCCAGCCATTCACATTGATCTTTCTGCCTCATCACAATGTACATACTTCATTTCAGGAGGCAAAATGTGTTTTATGATTTTTCAGAAGATGAGAAACTGAAAGCTAAAGGGAATCCTGATGATACTGCACCCTTACTCAAGCTGGCCTTTTAACTTTTTGGCAGTCTACTATTTATGCCTAAAGATCTAAGAAAGGCACTTAAGGCTAATACTCTCTGTGGAAAGTGAATCACAGTTTGACTCTTGAACTCCGAGTTAAATTGTATGACTGAATGCTTTATTAAACTTGTCTAACCAGATCACTGTAAATTGGACCTGGGTCAGAAGCTACAAACAGCTGTTGTGGTCCTCACCAGGTGGCCACACTTTCAGACTTCTTTCTTGTTATCGTGCTCTTTGACTGCAAAGCGAAAAAGTATTAATGTTAATGGTGCTGGAAGGAGATGACTGAAGCACTATTGTAATCACCCAGCAATCTTTGCAACATTCTGCAGCTGGGTTGGTTCAGAGAAAGAGTCTTAAGCCGAAAGAGTATGGACATTGATCAACATCTTGAAAGAACACTGATTGATTGCTCACGTATGCAATGGAGGTTGCACATGTGCATTGTCTCCTTTTTTTTGGTCTTTTTTTCTATCTTGGATTTTGCTTTATTTGCTTTGTCAGGAAAAAAAATACCATGAAAACTGTTTCCTTGTCTGCATTTTCTTGTATGTGTGCATTCATAGTCAATTGATATGTATGAATGCAGTGAAAGGTTTCTGTTGAAATGGCCTTTGGGAGGCAGGAATGTGTGTGAGAAGAGGGGAGGCTGTCTACCTGTCAAATGTGTCAGTGCTATGTGCTGCTCCCATTGCCTGAACCAAGCCTGACACTAGTGATAATAATCACACAGACTGAGTAAAATATGTGGCTTTTCCAC